ATATATATTATATATTATAAATAAATTTATATAATTCTGAATTATATCACTATTAAACAATAATGAATTATAAATGAACTATAAATAAATTTATATCATTATAAATGAACTATAAATAAATTTATATAATTCTTAATTATATCATTATTAAATAATAATGAATTATAAATGAACTATAAATTCATTGTGTTATATTATGAATATTATATAACTTCATTTATAATATACAATATATTACATATTATAAATAAATTTATATAATTCTTAATTATATTACTATTAAATAATAAAATATAAAATATAAATGAACTATAATTTCATTGTATTATATTATGAATTATATAACTTCATTTATAATATACAATATATTACATATTATAAATAAATTTATGTAATTCTTAATTATATCACTATTAAATAATAATGAATTATAAGTGAATTATAATTCATTGTATTATATAAATTCATTCATAATATATAAATATATACATTATACATACATACATTATACGTTTATAATATATAAATTTATGTAATTCATTTATATATATATATATATACCTACCTATATGCACATATATATATATATATATATATACACACGTACAATGAATCCATTTGTGTTATAAATTCATTTATGTAAACGAATTACAGAAATAGTACTTGCAATCGTGTTTCTACTTGCATTCGGAGGTTCGTTTGTTCTCGGTCGTTGGTTTTTAGTACCTGCGAGCTCGTCCACTTCCTCTTTGAGCCTTTCAATGAGCAGCTTCCGGTACTCCTGGAGCTCGCGTATCCACGGCGAGAGAAGTTGCAGCACTCGGGGCTCGGTGTCTGAGCCGATGCAGTCCTCGATGGCTTCGTTGCCCTGCAGTATCCCGTGCTGCAAGAACGTGATCGGATACTTTTGGTAACCCTGATGGGCGTGCACCAAACTGTGCTCGAACTCGCCGATGGAAAACAACGTCAGCAGCTGCATGTGCTTCACGTGGGAGTAAGTTGGATCTGGAAGACGAAAGTCGATCTATCGTAAAGATAGTAAAGATTAATAGACTCTGAGGAGATCGAGTGAAGAAGCAAAGTGGAAATCACAGCGCGTGATTTAAGGCACACTGACAGTGAGACGAGAACGAGCGACTTGGACAAATTTGCGAGACCAATTTGCTAACCCAGTTCCAAGCACTTCTCGGTGGTCTTCAGCGCCCTGGTGAACCGGGCGTAATTCAGTTGCACCTTGCCCAGGCCCAGATAAGTCCTGAGATCGTTCTGCTGGCCCTGTTGGATCGCCTTCTCGAAATACATCTCGGCGATCGGGTATTTCTCGAGGTTTGCCAGCCGGTAGCCCCATTCTCGGTAAACGATACCATCCCTGAAGAACAGCGGGCCTTCGTCGTCCTTCGTTCTCGCCATCTTCCCTGCATCAGAAACGAGAATGCATTCTCGTCGAGAACTAACCTGTCCCCTGTTCACTCGACTCACTACGTGCGATTCAGAAAATTAAAAAAAAAAAAAAAAAAAAAAAAAAAAAAAA